CAGAGCTCACTCCCATCGCGTTTCCACATGGAACAATTCACAGGGAAGGATTCAACACAGAGACAGTGGGGGTGAGAGTGCTCCGCAGCCCCCCCTTCCCCACAGCAGCCAACAGGGAGGGCTCTGTCCCCACGCTCAGTGGTGGGGTGGGGGCTGGGGTTGCTCTGCCCCATAGCATTTCAGTGTAAAACTTCTCTTTTTGGTTTATGTGCACAAAAGGCTTTTGCTTCACAGCTTGGCCGGACGCGGGGCGCCCGCAGCTCCGGTGGGGCCTCGAGGCTTTGGGGATGAGGCGGTCCCCCCCAAAATCCATCCCAGCAGTCGGGGAGTCCTGCAGGGAGCAGCACTGCGTGCATCACCACCGGCTCCTTCTGCAGCACCAGGACGGGACTGGAGGATCTACTGTCAGCAGGACGGCCACAATGGGAGCAAAGCGACGGAGTGGTGGGATGGGGGGACGGGGACGCATCCCCTCCACGCTCTGGTAACAGCGTGGCGCGAGCCGGTGCTCTTCAGCACGCTCCAGGGAGGTAGGTCGGCACCACGAGGGTCACCACCCTCATTTTACAGATGAGGAAACTGAGGCAAAGAGGTGAAGTGACTTGCCCAAGGCCACAGCAGAGCGGGGGGGAGCACCCCCGAGTTCCCAGCTCGCGGCGCCGGGCCGCTCGGTCCGCTCCGTTATCAGTGTTCTCTGTGCAGAAGCGCGACCCGTGGCGGCCCGAAGGCGCTTCCTGTTTGTGAGGTAGTAGAGTTACTGCAGGGCGGCCCCGATTCGCGCTGCGGTGTCTGGGACATTTGTTCCTCTTCGCCTCTGCCCCACAGCGGGATATGCGGGAATGGGGCGGCCCCGTCCTTCCCGGTGTAAACACTGCTGGCGACCCCCGAGCTGCGCCCAAAGCCGCGCCGTGCCTGGAACCGTCAGTCCTTCCTTCCTTCCTTTCTGCTTCCCTTCTCCTTCCCGCCCGGCGCTGCCCTGCTCCAGCTCTGCCCCTCTCTGCTGAGGTCAGAAAGTCGTAGCAGCATCGGTTTGTGGGTCAGCTCTGACTGTGGGTCGGCCGAGTCAGTGGGCGAAGAGGTTTCAGAACAAAATCTAGATTCAGAACCTAGTGAGAAACGCTAAGAACACAAAACTCGGTGGCCTCTAATGGGATCAGAGGTAAGTAAACACGACAGACTTCTCGGGAACGGTGACGTAGCTCACGTGCTGTTGGTTCGTACACTCTAAAAAGCCTAGCAAGGCCAAGAAATAAAAAAGAAGGAAAAAGAAAAAGAAAAAGGAGGAATCCATCCACGACGCCTGACCGTTAAATAAAACCAACGACGCTTTTCTGCGGCGCCTCCCGGCCCTGCCCTGCCTCACCCCATCAGCTGTCTGCGTTCTTCTCCGCATCTTTGGAATGGATAATGTACATAAAAGTCTGCTCGATGGTGAAGTCGGGGGGCAGGCTGCCCTTGTGCACCCCGATGTGCTTGCTCATCAGGTTGAGCGTGGAGCTGTAGTGGCCGCAGACGGTGCAGCGGTACATCAGGGCCCCCGAGTGCGTCCGCAGGTGGCACTTGATGGTGGAGCGGCCGCGGAAGAACTTGTGGCAGACCTTGCACTGGTACGGCTTCTCCCCGGTGTGGATGCGCCGGTGGTAGTTGAACTCACTGGTGTGGGCGAAGCGCTTCCCGCACACCTTGCAGCTGTACTTGCTGTTGCCCGGCTGGCTCTGCAGCGCCAGCTCCTCGCTCAGGAACTCCTCGGGCAGCTTCCTCTTCTGCAAGCTCTGTGGCTGCAGCCGCTCGCCGAAGCCGGGACGGGCATCCACAGCGCTGCCGCACTTGTGCTGGCTGACGTGGTAGCGATACGCCGCCTCCAGCTTGAAGCTCTGCCCACAGAAGTGGCAGCGGAACAGGGCCTCCTCGGCGCTCTGGTGCACGGCCAGGTGCTTCTCCAGCAGCTGCCGGTCCACGAAGCTGCTGGCGCACACGGCGCAGGAGAACACAGCGATGCCCAGGTGTGCCAGCGCGTGCCACAGCAGGCTGCACAGGCTCAGATGCCGCTGGTCGCACACGCCGCACGTCTGGCTCTTCAGGTTGACGTGGTCCAGGAGGTGGTTGCGGACGGTCTGGAAATCTTTGGCCAAAGGTTTCCCGCACGCGGCGCACGCCAGATCTGCGCCCGACCCCGTGGCGAAGGCACCCGCCTTGCCAGGCAGAGGGTCGCTGGGATGCACGACCATGTTGTTGTCGAAGACGCCGTCCCTGCGGTGCAGGGTGAGCTGCCACTGCGTGAAGAACTTGGTCTCACACATGTCGCAGGAGAAGAGGAAGATGCCGATGTGGGACAGCACGTGGGTCACCCTGGAGTTGCGGTCCTGGAAGTGGGTCTCGCACACCTTGCAGTTCCCGGTGAGCAGGTCCACGTGGTCGCGGGCGTGCTGCCGGATCAGCTGGATGTTGGGCTCCAGCACCTTCTTGCAGACCTGGCAGGGCATGGCTCTGCTGTCGCGCCCGTCGCTCTCGAAGGCCAGCTCCTCCTCGCTGTCATCGCTCAGCTCGATCACCTCTTCCGACGGCCCCAGCTCCTCGCTGGCATCCTCGAAATGCAGCTCGTCCTCGCCCAGCTCCTCCAGCTGCAGCTCGTCCATCGGCACGAAGCCCGGCTCCTTGCAGTGCTCGCTGTTGCTGGGACACGAGTTGCTCCCCGTGGAGATGTCCAGGGATGAATCAGCCGTGAAGAACCCACCTTTGCCATAGTCGCCATTGCTCTGCACCTTGTACTGCTGGCAGGAGCCTGCGGAGCTCTGCATGACGCTCCCAGTGCCCAGCCCGGGCTGCACTGCTGCGACAGCACCAGGACCAAACGGCCCCGGCTCTGCGTCCTTGGGGGGCAGCGGGGGCTGCAGCAGGGGCACAGCCTGGCCGCCGTCGCTCCTCTCCTCCTCCTTGTAGCTGCCCGCTCCCTCCCCATGCAGCACGTAACCCCGCTCCGCACCAAAGTGCTCCGCACTCCCCCGGGCGTCCCCCAGCGCCGGGCTCTGCTCCGAGGCACAGCCCACAGCACCTGGCCGGGCATCCCCCGAGGCCAGGGGGGGCTGCTTGGGGATGGCCGCGCTCTCCAGGTCGGGGAAGGTGGAGTGGCAGGCACGCAGCAGGTCCTCCATGCCCAGCCGCTCCGCCACCTCGTAGATAACACCCACATTGATGAGATCGGTGAAGAGCTCCGAGGTGTACACGAAGCTGAGGATCTTCTCAAAGTTGGCCGGCGTGATGAAGTCCACCACGTAGGTGCGCGCGGCGTCCAGCCCCGTGTTCAGGAAGAGGTTCTGGAAGTATCCAGCAGCGCAGGCCAGCACGGCTTTGTGCGCGGCGAAGGAGCGCGAGCCCACCAGGATGGTGACGTCGCACATGGTCTCGGAGAGGCGGCACTTGTTGAGCTCCTTCAGCAGGTTGTTGGGGTGGTTGGTGCTGTGCAGTTTGATCCTCATGCCCATCTTAGCAGCTGGGGGGGGCCTCTCCTGCTCAGCTGCTCCTTCACGCCCTCATCAGCTGCGGGGGCAGCAGGTGCTGCCCGGCATCCAGCAAGTGGCAGGGCAAGGGGCTCTGGGGGGGAACATGAAGAAAAGTTAAAACCTCAACGAGGAGACATCACTCCAACGCTCCACCTGTGGGACAGCCACAGGCACAGCTCTCAGATGGAGCTGGGCAGAGCAAGGAAGAACAGCGTTGCCCCACAGATGCCCTCACCGCTCATCTTGGGGCCAAGGTTGTTTCTGCAGCCACCCCAGGAGCGCTCCTGTCTGCATCAGGACCCATCCATGCTCCCCCTCGCAGCCCCCATCACCTCCGCCTGGGCACGATCTGGCCCCGACTCCCAGCACAGCCTGGGGGGCTGCACAGCACAGTGCTGAGGCACAGCCTGCAGCCCCACTGCCTCCAGCCCCACTCCCCCTCCCAGCTCCCTATCGTCCCCCCCAGGCCCCCGTAGCTCCCCCGCCTTGAAGGGCTCAATGGAAGCCACCCAACCGCCTCCCAAACTCCGTCCCGCAGTGAAAGTTGCTCTCAGCTCGCTCCGCGGAGGCTCCTTCCGACGAAACGTGCCCGGGGCCGCCGGTCTTGAGGGGGGAGCGCGGGCCGTGGGATGCTCTTCGGGGCGGCCCCAACCACCCCACCCCCCACCCTCGCTTCTCGTCCCCCTCTCCTCCCGCGGGTCTCGTAGCGAGGTCCGCATCTCGCGGTCAGGAAATGTACCTTCCCCCACCCCCCTCCCCCCAACAAACCGCGGCTCTGCGGGGGGGGGGGGGGGGGCCGCCCCCCACCCCCCCCGACGGCCCCGGGACGTGAGAACGGCCGCGCCGCCGCGATCCTCGCGGGGTCGGGGCCGGGGGGGACCCTTGGGGGCGCGGCCGTCGGTCCCGTCCCGCCGCGGCCGCTCCTTACCCGCCCGGCGCCCCGCACCATCCCCGCTCGCTCACACAAAGGCACCGCCCCGCCCTCCGCCCTCCGCCCGCCGCTCCGAGCGCCCGCCGCCACCGGAGCCGCCTTCCGCCGCCCGCCCGCTCCGACGGGGCCACAGCGCCGCAGCGGCCCGGAGGGGAACTGCGGGGGGGAACGCGGGGCGGTCCGGGTCGCGATACGGGGAGGGTCGCGATAAGCGGCGCGCTCCTCCCCTTCTCACCCCCCTCCGCCTCCCACCCCGGCGCAGACACACAGAGGCGGGCGCGGCTCCGGGCTGTGCGGTGCTGTATGCGTGCGGTGCGCGTACAGCGCGGTTCGGACACGCGCGTTCCGCTCTCGGCGCGGCCCCGGGGCTCCCGCGAAGGCTCCGCCGCATCCCGTCCGCCCTGTCGAGGCCGCTCCTCACGGCGCGGGGCGGGGGGGGCCGGCAACCCGAGGGCCGTCCGGGGGGGGTCCTGGGGAGCAGCGGGCGGAGGGGCCGCGTTCAGCGTGTCCCGTCCCGGCCGCGCCCCCGCCGTCCCCCGCCGCCCTCCCGGGTTCTGCCGCCCGTTTCCCCATGAGCCCCACGAAGAAGTCGTGCATGTCTCCTGCGGAGAGAGCGCCGTCAGCGCCCGTCCGGCCCGGCCCGGCCCCCTCCGCGCTGTGCTCTCCGCGGGGCCCCGCCTCGGTTCCGCTGCGGGGCCGGGCGCGGTGCGAGGCGGGCAGCACTTACGCTTCTGAGGAGGCGCGGGCGCCGGGGGACCTGCGGGAGACAGAAACGGGTGCTGAGCGCTGCCGTCGGGGCGCGCACGGGGACCGGGAGGGACCCCCCAACTCCGCCCGGCCCCCCGCACCCCGCCCCACCCGGCCCCGCTCTCACCGTTCTCCTCCTCCCGCAGTAGCTGCAGAAGAGCGGCGACGGCGGCCCCCGGGCTGCCCCGGGATCTCCAGAGCAGCGGCTCCGGGCCGGGACCCCTCTGCGGGAAGCGGAGCGGTGAGCGGAGCCGCGCGGTGCCACCCCCGAGCCCCGACGGTGCGGCCGTACCTGGGAGCGCGGCGCGGAGCCCGGCGGGGCGGAGAGGGCGAGCGGCAGCGCCAGGGCGAGCACGGCCAGCAGCGCGCGGCTCCGCATCGTCCTACGGGGATTATGGGTCGGGGGGCGTGAGCGTCGGTATCGGACCCGGAGCAGAACTTGGGCGGGGAGCAGCGAGCGGCTTTGGGAGCAAATCCCCACCCAGGAGGCACGGGCTGGGGGTTCCCACCCGGCTGCAGGAGGAGCAGGAACCGCAACAGGGGTGGGCCCCGCGCCCCCCCGACGGGCAAAGCCTGGGGGGACCACAGACAGGTTAGCCCTGCACGCTCACACCCCCACGGTGTCACCAATACCCGCACAGCTGCATGCACACTGATGGCCAGCCCCGCGCCCAGAGCCCCCAGCCCTCCCCACGTCCCAGCGGCGCCTTCAGTCCTCTCTGCCCCCTTCCCTGAGCCCCCCCAGGCTGCGTAGGGTGAGGAGCAAAGGCGGTGGTCGCTCCAGAGGCCTCGAGGTACCTGGTGCAGGGATGCGGTGAGGGGTGCAGGGATGCAGTGCAGGCTGCTCAGTGCCGGCTGTGACCTCGCTGGTGGCTGCACCGATGGCTCTCAGCCCGATGGAGATGAAGCCCCACCGCCGCTGCGGAGTTAAATAAGGGGCTCTGCCCATGGCACGGCGTGGGTGGGCGAAATGAGAGCCGCCAATGGGGGCCGCGGGGGGTGGCACCCCCACCCCACAACTTCACGCCCACGCGGGCGCCGTGACACCGCCAGGCACCGCAGCACGCGGCCCACGCAGGCATGCAGGGGTTGGGGTGGCACGCGGACACCGCTGCACCCCGTGCAGGGGGGGATGCACACCCGGTGGTGCCACGGCCTCGTGGTGTGTGTGTGCAGCGTGAGCTGCCTGCGTCTCGGCTGTGCCACACCGGTGGTCACGTCTGCCGTGCAGGAGGGCTGTGGGGGGGTTCGCGGTGCTGTGGGAACCAGCTGAGCTCGTGTGCGTGTACGGGATGCACGCCTGAATGGGATGCACACATCAGACCTCGTAGACCCCATGCCTCCTGCCCCGTCCCAGTCCTGTGCAGCCCACAGGAGCGCTCCCAGGTGTGGCCCCATCTGTGGCCATGTCCCCTCCGGCCCCCTGTATGTGACCCCAGGCCCGGAGTGGAGCTCAGCCCCCTCTGAGCACACCCATCCCTGCCCCACAGCTGCACAGACTGAGGGTCCGTGGGTGGGGGGAGCCCAGCCCCAGCGCTGCACCGGGATGAGTTGCAGACCCCACAGGATGGCAGCAGGAACGCAGCTGCTCACGTGGCAGCGCCGCCGGGGCAGGGCAGCATCTGCAAAGCCGGGGATGTTAATTAAATCGGAGCCTGGCCAGAGCTGGCCTAATTAATTAATAACACCTACTTGTGTGGTGCCGGGTGCGAGGCAGGCACGAAGCACAGCAGTGCCCCGGGCTTGTTTACGGCGCTGTCCCTCTCCATGTATGGGTGACGGGTCCCCGTGCTGGGAGGGGATGCAGCCCCGGGGGGGCTCGGGGAGGGGGGGGAGCTCGAGGTGTCCCTGCACACGCACGTGCCCCCCCCCCACGTGCACGCTGCCCGCACATGGTGCCCGTGCACGACACGGCCCCACCTGGGAGCTGCTGACGCGACCAGGAGCTGTCAGCTCTGCCAGAGAACGCGGGTGACGTGCGGGGAGGGAAAAATCCCAGTCCTAGAGCCAAAATCCCACTCCCAGAGCCTGACGTGAGCAGGAGAGAAAAGGAGGTGGGAGGGGATGGGGGCTGCGTGGGGACTCCCAGGACCGGTGCTGCAGCAGTGGCAGTGGGGGTCCCTTTGGGTGGCGTGGGGATCTGCACAGAGCTGGGGTCTGCAGAGGGGGGGTCCTGCAGTGGGGGTGGAGATGGGGGCAGGGAATGGGGGACTGCAGTGCCACCCACCCAGAAATTGCGACTTGGATGCAGGCGCCACTTTCTCACTTAATGGGAAAAGTGGCCGCAATTTGGGGCCTTTCCAATCACAGCAGAGCCGAGCGCTCGCTGCAATCAGGCGACAGGGAAAGAGCTTGGGGGGGCTGGGGGGGCTCTGTGCTGTGCTGCGCTCTGTGCCGCATCCTACTCCCAATCCTGACATGCAGCAGGGAACTCCACATGACAGCCCCCACGTACGGACACCGGAACACGTGTAATGGGACGGCAGCAGTTTAATGGGACACCGGAACACGTTTCACGGGACGGCAGCAGTTCCCGAGCAGTGCAGGGGGTGCGGTGGACCCCCCCCCCCCCCCCCCCCGCTCAGTGAACCAGGATCTCCATCTTGTGGCTGCCGCGCTTCTTGCAGACCGGGACGTCGCTGCTGCCTTTGGCCGACTCCACCACGGTGATGGCCACGTCGCCCTTCGGGAACCGCGTGGAGAACCTGGGGGAGATGGGCGGTGGGCTGGGGGCTCGCCTGGCCACGCCCCTCCCGCTGCCCAACGAGCTGCTTCCAATCCGGCCCCGCCCCCTGCCGCACCTCATCCTGCCCAATGAGCAGCCCGATTCCACCCCGCTCTTCCCGACACACCCTGAGCTGTGGCCACGCCCCCTCCCGACCACGCCCCTTCCGGAAACGCCCACGTAGGCCACGCCCTCGGCCCCGCATACTGGTCGGCGATGCTCAGCGGCAGCGCCTGCGCGGTGGCGTCCATCAAGGTCTGATGCAGGCGGGTGACGAGCTCGATGAGGTGGGGGCTCACCAGCAGGAGGTCACCTTTGCCGCCAGCAGCGGACGTCTGTAGGGCGGGGCGGTGTTTTGGAGGGGTCAGCGCCGCCCAGCCCCCGCTGCCCTCCCACACCCCCTCCGTGTGGCACCGAACCTCCTTGAGGTGCAGCGCCAGCAGCCCGTCGGAGAAGCGGCTGACGGAGGCTCCGCGGATGTCGCTGAGGCTGAGCACCAGTTTGGGCTGTGCTGCTTTGGGGTCGGCCAGCACCAGGTGCTCAGTGGTGAGCAGCAGCAGCCGCGGCACCTTCTGTGGGTTGGGGGGCAGTGAGAGCAGTCCTGCGCCTTCCCCACACCCCCCACGGGACGGGGCTCACCTTCCCGCTGGCTCTGTTCACCTTCTGCACCGCCTCGGCCATCACCAGCTTATCCTTGGCCACCGCCTGCAGCTTTTGGTACTTGCGGTTCTGCGTCAGGCCCAGGTACTCACCACGGAAGGGCTGCTGCAGGCTGTGGATTGAAGGGGGGGGGGATCAGCCGAGATCCCCAGGCTTCCCCCCCGGCCACCGCGTGTGAGCGCACCTGTGTGCATACAGCGCCTTCTTGTCCTTAAACAGCTCACTGGCGCACAGCTTGGCCTGCAGCACGGCGTGCTGCTGCGGGGAGAGCTGCTCCCGGTACTTCTTACACTGCAGAGATGGGGCAGCGCGGGGGGGGCTGGGTGATGCAGTGCCGCCAAACCCCCGCTGCTGTGGGGACCCGTAGATCCCCCCCCCCCCTACCTTCCAGAGGTAAAAGATGCCCTTCAGCTCCTGGTTGGCGTCGGACAGGAACTTATAGGGCGCAGGAGGCCAGGTCCGGTCCAGCACCGCCATCGGGGGGAGGTTATTCCGCAGCCCTATGAGGTATTTCTGCACCTGGGCGGGGGGCACAAAGGGTGGGCGGGGTCCCTGGGCACAGCCCCGAGGAGGTGGGGAGGCGCTGATCCCATCGCTGCTCACCATCCGCCGGTAGATGAAGTTGGACAGACGCATGCGGGCGTTGGAGCGGAAATAGCGGCGGTACGTCCTGCGGGTCTGGGGACAGCGGGAGTCAGCGGGATGTGGGACCCCGTGGGGTGGGACCCCCGCCCTCCATATTCCCCATTGGATGTGTCTCCCACCCCCCTCCCCATACAGCCCTGCCCTGACAGGGTGGGCAGAGCCGGGGCGGACAGACAGACAGCCCCGGACGCAGCAGGACAGCAGAACAGAGGAGGTCAGGGGTGCACGGCCCCGCAGTGGGGCTCACCCCATTACCTGATACCCTTTCCAGTAAGCAGAAATGGTGCTGGCGGCCAAATGGCGGCGGCGCTGAACCTTCAGCTCCCGAAGGAGCCGGCGGGACTGCAGAGGGACAGCCAGAACCCAAAGAGCCCAAAGGAGGAGGGGGAAACACCAACACGCATAGCGAGCGAGAGGGAGAGAAAGGGAGGAAGGCAGGAGAGATGGAGGGAGATGGGGTGAGACGGTCCTGGGGGGAGCAGGACGCCCCCCGGCACTGCATCACTGCCCCGGAGTGTGGCCCTGAACGCCTGCGTGGCGCACAGCGCTCACCTTCCAGCCCCGCGCGTACGCCTGCAGCAGCAGCACCGAGCGCTTCATCTGCTTGTACCGGTTCCTTTGCTGCAGGGGGAGCGGGGGGGGGTCACACCCTTGGACCCCCCACACCCCCGGGCCAGGGGGTGAATGGGGAAGGGTGCAGCACAGCCAGGACCCCCCTCCTCACCGCGTGGCCGCGGAACCATGCGGAGATGAGGATTTGGCTCTTGCGCATCTGCTGGTACTGCTTCCTGCAGCGCCAACCGCGGAACGTCGCTTGGATGAGGGTGGCCAACTCGGCCACGCGCTGCTGGCGCCGCTTCTCCAGGTCGAAGAGCTGCAGGTGGAGCAGAGCTGAGGGCTGTGGCATCGCCCAGAGACCCCTGAGGGGATGGGAGGCTCAGAGAGGGACTGGGGGGGCTCAGAGCAGGACTCACTCCATGCCCCCCCCCCCCCCCCCCCCCCCAGCCAGAACCCCCAAGCCCACACTCACAGTTTGTGGTGAGCGGATGAAGATTTTGGTGTGGCCGTATGCCAGCTCCTCGGGGGGGAACTGCAGCTCCGCCAGCAGCACCTCAGTGCCCTCCCTGCAGCACGCAGGGATACTCGGACCCTGCACCCCACAGCAGTGGGGCTGCGGGATGTGCAACCGCCCAGGCCCTCCTTTCCCCCCCTGACCTGTCATTGCCCATCCAGTGGGGCCAGGTCCTGCTGCTCAGCATCTTGTAGCGCTTCAGGAAGGGCTGGTAGAGCTGGCGGAAGGCATAGCCTGCACGCCGTACCCGCACGTTCTCCATCAGCCCCAGGTAGCGCACCTGGGCCAGCACCAGATCCGGAGTGAAGAGCATTGCCGTCTTGGTGTCGTTGGGCTTGATGCACCTGGGGAGGGGTGGGGGGCAGCGGTGGGCACGGGGGGTCCCACTGTGCACCCACACATGTGGTCCTGCCTGGCGCTACCTGATGTAGTTGGGGTTCTTGGTGTAGAGGTTCTTCATCAGCGTCGCCACGGATGCCTTGAACTGGGAGCCGGTGGTGGGGGGCAGTTTGAGGGAGGGTCTCTGGGGGTCGCCCTCGGGGAAGAGGGAGCGCAGCAGTGTGTGCTGGGCGGCCCACATGGCCTGGGACAGGTCACGGAACAGCAGGTCGTTGTTCTTCTCGATGAAGCCTGTCACGTTGTAGGTCACCTGGGGATGGGAGCAGGGCCAGAGCCACAGAAAGGCTGGGATGAGGACCGGGTCAGGGGAGTGGGAGCAGGGCCAGCGTGTGCCCCAGCCCCACGGAAAGGAAGGGGTGAGGATGGGTGCCCTGCTTTTCCCCAGGGGCTGAGGGAGCCCTGCACCTTCCCAGCATAGTGGTGGATGCGGAAGCAGCGCAGCGGCAGGCTGATGTCGGTGACGTGTTTGGCGTTCAGAGTCTCTTTGCTCTCGTAGTGTTTGTGGGAGGCGAAGATCTGGTTCAGCTTGGTGATGAAGGTGTCCTCGTTCACGGTGCCGGGCCGCAGGCACTCCTCGTCCAGCATGGCCAGGATCCCCACCTTGCTCTGTGCCACGGGGGGACAGCGTCACCCCCAGCCCCCCCCAAAGCTGCCCCAAAATGCCCGAGCGCAGAGCATCGGCCCCCTGAGCCACCTCAGGACCTGAGAGCCCTGGCAGGAACTCACGTTCTCAATGAGGTCGCAGATGATGCTGTTGTCGAAAAACTCCACTGGGGTCCACTGGATGCCCTGGGAGCAGAGGGGTGTCAAGCACAAACCCTGCCCCATGGGCACCCCCTGTCGGTGCGGGGCAGGAAGCGGACGTCCGGCCGCCGAGACGGGATCCCGAATCCCTCCCCGCCTTCCTGCCATTGAGTTGCTCTCCCGGTTGGGGGCGGTGAGGAAGGGACGTGCTGTGGGGCCGTCTGAGGCGCTTCCCCATCCCACTGAGGCTCCCCGGAGCCGCATCCCTTTGGGGTCGGTGTTACCTCCCGGACGTATTCCTCCTGCTCCTCCTTCAGCGTCATCAGGATGAAGATCTGCTGCAGCTTCTCATTGCAGTAGTTGATGATGAACTGCTCAAAGCCGTTGTCCTATGAGATAAGCGACCTGAATGGCAGATCTGTGCTGGAGACCCCACCCCACATCCCTCCTGCAGACCCCCACCCCACAGCCCTCCTGCTGCCCTCACCTGGAAGATCTCGAAGCCGTAGATATCCAGGACTCCCATCACCTTCCTCTGCTTGCCTGGCTTCACCTGGGGCACAGAGAGACTGAGCCTCCTTCCTGTTGGGGGGGGGGGGGGGGTCAGCACACGGCTGTGGGGTGACCAGGCTCACCCTGATGCTGGTGTTGATGCGGTCCACCAGCCAGTCGAACAGACGGCTGTAGATGTTCTTGGCCAACGCATCACGGCAGTAGTAGCCCTGGGGAGAGGGGAGGGGGGCTCACGGGGGTCCCGGGGTGCGAGCCCAAGGGGAGGGGGGAGGGGGGGCACCCTGCTCACCTGGGAGACGCTGAGCGCAGTCAGCACGCTCTCATCCCGCACCTTCACAGTGCGTGAGCACAGCGCCTGCTCCAGAGTGCTGGGGTCCAGCCCGACCAGCTGGCTGATCTCCTGCAGCTCTGTGCGGGACAAAGCGCTGCTGGGGCTGCTGTGCGGGGATCAGGGGGGGCCCATCCGATCCCCCCCGCCCCACCGTACCCTGTGGCTCGGCAATGCTGGACGCCTCCATCCCGCTGGCCTGGAAGCAGCTGCTCAGCTCCACGTTGCCCAGTTTGAGCACCACGGCCGTCACCTCCAGCAGCGCCGTCACCTCGGTGGGTGTGAAGCCGATGATCGCCATGGCATCCTGGGGGGGAAGGGAAGGGATGGGGGCAGCCATGGGGTGCTTGGGGAGTGGGGGGGGGGTCGTGCCCCCGTACCTGCATGGCACGGAAGTTGGCGGCATCATCCATGCCGGGCAGCACTGACTTCTCACGGTTCAGGTAACCGTAGTGGCTGCAGTCCGGGCGCAGCTTCAGCTTCTCTGGGGTGGGGGTGAGGGGGGTCAGCCATAGTCCCCAACACCAGGCATCTCCTCCCCAGCCCCCCCAGCTCCATGTTGGGACATACGGAGCAGCTGCGCTGAGCCCCCCGCCAGCAGCTGGTAGAAGATGTGGAAATTCCTCTCGCCCTTCACGTGGCGGACGATGCGGGATTTCTCCAGCAGATCTGTCAGGGTTTGCGGGGGGGGGAATGAGTGTCACTGCAGCGCAGGGGGGGCGGAGACCCCGGGGGGAGGAGGGGAGCAGCACTGACAGTTACTGATGACCCCTCCCAGAGGATCTCCCTTGAAGTCGAACTCCACATCCATGTATTTGCCCTGAAGGATGGGGATGGGGTCAGGGTGAGTGGGCCCCAGGGGGACCCCTCCCCACGCCCCCTCCCCGCTCACTCACAAATCGGGAGGAATTGTCGTTGCGGATGGTTTTGGCATTCCCAAAGGCTGTGGAGGAGGACGATGGGGTTATGCAGCACCAGGTGGTGCAGTTTTGGGGGGGTGATGAGTCCTGGGGTGTGTGGGGCACTCACCCTCCAGCACCGGGTTAGACTGCAGCAGCTGCTCCTTCACTTTGTCCACCTCCTCCCCTTTGCTGCTCACGGCCGCCACGTAGGACATCACCAGCTTGCTGGCCTCTGCAATGGGGGTGTCAGCCTTGGGACCTGGGACCCCCCATCCTGCAGCCCTGCAGCTCCCAGCCCACCCTACCTGTCTTGCCAGCTCCACTTTCACCAGTGATGAGGATGCATTGGTCCTGATCCCGGTCCCGCAGCGAGCAATACGCATCATCAGCAATGGCGTAGCTGTGGGTAAGTGGAACTCAGCAAGGGGCTTGAGGGCCCTGGGGGGGACTCAGGAGCCTTGGCAGGACAGAGGGTTAACAGTATCTCTGTGCTCACATGTGGGGTTTCACGGCAAAGAAGTTGCAGTCGTGGTACTCCTCCACCTTCTCGGGGGTGTAGATGGGCAATGGTTTGTAGGGGTTCACTGAGATCACCACCTCCCCAATGTAAGTCTGCAGGTGAGTGGCAGTGTGAGTGCGGGGCCAGGACACAGCAGTCTGCTCCCAGCCCATCCCAGACCCCATATCCACCCCTCAGCCCCATCCCAGACCCCATATCCATCCCCGATCCCCATCCCAGACCCCACACTCCCCCCCTTGTCCCCCCCAGTCCCCGCTCCCCTCCCCATCCCCGCATCCCGGTGCCCACGTAGATCTCCTCGCGGCTGAAGCGCTCCTGCAGGGTGCGGAGCAGGGCTTCCTCGCTGAGCGGGTCCAGCATCACCAGATCCCCGACGGCCGCAGCGTCCAGCAGAGAGGCGGTGGCTTCCATGGCTGGGGGCTGCGCGGTGCCTGGGGCAGAGCGGTGGGGCTGCCCTGGGTACCCCGCTCCTCTTCGAGGCTTCAGGGCAGCTCCGGGAGAAGCGCAGAGCCGGCAGGAAGCGAGGACACCTGGGCCCTATTCTTGGGGCTGGGATTAATTCAGCCTCCGCTTCCTCCCTCCTTCCGGGCCGGGGGGAGCTGAGCTCGGGGCTGGGGGGGGACACCTAAGGGGTCGCGGCTCCGCCCAACCCCCGCCCTCACCTGGTGCGCTCCCCGCGACCTTCAGACCCGCTTCACCTGTAAACCCAGCCCTGCCGTCAGGGTCGGGGAAAGTTCACGGGAGGGGGGTGGCGAAGAGGCTGCGGGGGGGGGGGGGGGGGGGGGGGGGCAGCAGCCGTCGAGCCCAACGGGGCCGACCGGGACCCCGCAGGGGCGGCGGCGTCCTCCGAGCCGGGAGCGGCACAGAGAGCCCCGACGTCGAAGGGGGGGGGGTTGGAGCCAGAGCCCCCCGCAGCACCGGGGCAGCGCCGAGACTTCCCGCAGGGCCGGGGCTCGGGGTCCCGTTGTGCCGCCTCCCGGCCACCCCCCCCCCGCCCCGGGGCGCGGTGCCCCCGGCCGGGACCGATGGGTCGGCTCTCACCTGCGGCTTGCGGGACGCCGGTTGCGGGAGTGGCCGAACCGGGGCTGCCTCCCGGACAGGACCCGCACTGGGGTCGGCCCCGTCCGGCCCACGAAGGGGCGGGGGCCCAGGGCCCTCCCTCGGGGCAGGGAAACTGAGGCACGCAGCAGCGGCAGCCGCCCCGAGCCGACGCTCCCAGACCCGCGCCGGGTCCCGCAGCGCCGCCGCCTCCCCGCAGCAGGAACAAGCAGAGAAACGCGATTGTGGCCGAGCAAACAAAAGGAGCTTCCTCCCGGGGCTCCGGGAAACCGGGGCAAGGTACAGAGCCGGCAGCAGCCGGGCCACTCCCGGGAAGACGCCTGAGCCTGGGCTGCCCGCAAAGGGCCCTGCAGTGGGCAGAGGGGAGCAGAACGAATGGGCGCATGAGAAACACAGTCATGAAAATACACCTTTATTAAAAAATACAATCATCAGTCTGCGTTAGCCACATGAAACGAACACGGGGGGAGGAGATGTAGCTATAAGGGTTGCTTGTACCAAAGCAGGGGGGCAGGGAAGAAAACCTGGGCCAGAAACAAACGGACAGCAAAGCCAGGGGCAGCAGCACAAGTGAGGGGCGTTCAGGCAGCAGCAGGAGGGCAGGTTTACTGCCAAGCCTTGCATAGATGGGGGCATCTCCTCTACGCTTGCGCTTTGTCAAAGTTTTACTGCCCCGACTGCCAGCAGCAAAGCTCCCACCCTGCACTGTGGGAACGGCCACCGAGGCCAGAGGGCTGAAAGCAGAGAGCAGCAGCAGCTCCCCCACGCTGGGAGCAGGACCCGTATCACAAGTGTTCCTTGAGCTCTGCAATGAGCCAGAGGAGCCCTCAGAGCTGCATCTCTGCCCTGGAAGCACGGGGTTTTTGGTATTAGAACTGGGCAGAGTCACAGCTGGAGCCCTGTGGCACCTTTGGTGAGCAGCAGCACGAGGAGGAGCAGCCCGGCAGCAAGCAGGTGCTGAGCACGCAGGTACTGTCAGGAGAGGTCCAAAGTTCCCCTTAGGAACGTGCCATGCCCGTGGGGACACGCACACGAGACGGACCTTTTGCTCCATCCACACCCTGAAAGGCAGAGATGCCCTTGGCAGAGAGGGTGTGGGCACCCAGAGCAGAGCAGTGCAGAGCAGAGCAGAGGGGCTCCTTCTGCCCCCTGTGGCAGCAGCACTGGGCACAGGGCTCAGCATGCGCACCACAAGCAGATGCACCAAGAACCAGGATGGCTCCAGTCCACCTCCAGTCAGGACCAGCGTGCCCCACCAGCAGCACAGACCTCAGTGTCCCCACCGTCAGCTCCCTGCACCCTTCTGCCAACGAGAGCTGCACTGATAAAAGCTTTTGTGCCTCAGCTGGGTAGGAGTTACCCTGGGAAAAGTTACCCTTCATCCTCCTAGCAGCTCCGCAGCAGAGCCAGGCTCGCAGCAGCCCAGCTTGGGATGGAATCGGAGATGCTGGGCACAGCGACACCGCTCAGCCCTGAGCTGAGGGTTTTGGGCACTGCAGGTGTCAGGGAAGCGAGGAGCCACAGCGGTTTTGCTGCTCTCCCTTGGGGTTGTGGGGCAGCTGACCTCAATCAGCAGCCAGGTGGGCTGTGGGACCACAAGCAGCCCATGCTGTCTCTCCATGGAGAAAATCTTCCTCCTCGTCCTCCTCAAAGAGCTGCTCCTCGAGGAACACCCCGCCCAGGCCGAACTCCTGCTCGTGGAAGGACACCTCGCTGGCAGTGAGGTGGGAGGCACCGCCCACAAACTCAGCAAACCTGGGAAGAAGCAGCAAAGAAACTCACTGTGTGCTTGCATCTGAGTGCCCTGGCACGAGGGAATGGCTTTGAGTGCTCATGGTGCACGCTCAGCCGCGGGCAGAGCTGCATCCAGCACAGAGGAGGCTGGGCCAGGGCTGCGGTTATCACAGAATCACAGAATTGTAGGGGTTGGAAGGGACCTCCAGAGCTCATCGAGTCCAACCCCCTGCCAAAGCAGTTCCCTACAGCAGGTCGCACAGGTCAGCATCCAGGCAGGTCTAGAACATCTCCAGAGAAGGAGACTCCACCACCTCCCTGGGCAGCCTGTTCCAGTGCTCCGTCACCTCACTGTACAGAAGTTCCTTCGCACATTGGTGCAGAACTTCCTATGCTGCAGTTTCCGGCCGTTTCCCCTCGTCCTGTCTCCACTCACCACTGAAAACAGTCCGGCCTCGCCATTCTGCCCCCAACACCTCAGATATTTACAGACCTGGATCAGGTCCCCTCTCAGTCTTCTTTTCTCAAGGCTGAACAGACCCAGTTCTCTCAGCCTTTCCTCATAGCAGAGATGCTCCAGGCCCCTCACCATCTTTGAGGCCCTCCGCTGGACTCTTTCCAAGAGATCCCTGTCTGTTTTGTGCTGGGGAGCCCAGAACTGGACACAGTGCTGCAGATGAGGCCTCAGCAGGGCAGAGCAGAGGGGGAGGATCACCTCCCTCGACCTGCTGGCCACGCTCTTTGCAATGCACCCCAGGATGCCATTGGCCCTCTTGGCCACAAGGGCACACTGCTGGCTCACGGCCGACCTGTCGTCCACCAGGACACCCAGGTCCCTCTGTGCAGAGCTCCCCTCCAGCAACTCATCCCCCAACCTGTACTGGTGCATGCAATTATTCCTCCCCAGATGCAAGACTCTACACTTGCTTTTGTTAAACCTCATCCGGTTTTTTTTTGCCCAGCTCTCCAGCCTGTCCAAGTCTTGCTGAATGGCAGCACAGCCTTCAGACGTGTCAGCCAATCCTTCCAACTTTGTATCATCAGCAATTATGATTTTTTATGATAACAGCATTATCTGTCCTTGCTTTGCTGCACGCCCTGCTTCCACGCTGCAGGGATCTCCAGTGCCTCGGGCTCCCTTTCTCTGAAGCCACAGGTGGCAGCACGGAGCAACTGCAAGCTTCCAGGTGAGGTTGGCCACCTGGCTGCCAGGGGACGTTACCTTTTGGGAGACTGGATGCGGGACACTGCAGTCCAGGCAGAGAAATCCGGGCTTCTGCAGTAGTTTCGAAGCTCCTCGAGGGCCTTCCGTGTCTCCACCTCCCCCTGAATGCGATATTCCTCTTCGGTCAGCAGGCGAGGGGGGCTGGGCCCCAGCCAGGCGCTCTGTGCCCTCCTACCAGCAGAACAGTGCCGGTTATTGGCCAGGCTGGGCCCCAGGAGCAGCGCACAGCGCATCCCTCTGGGCTCTGCATCTTGCTCCTGAGAGGCCCCAGCGGTGAGCAGCGCGATGCTGCGTCACACCAAGCTGGGGAGGAGGGGCACAACCGCCCCGTGCTCCCACCCCAGAGAAACACCCTGGTTCTGCAGTGCAGGGTCTGTGCAGCTCACCCGGACCGGGGAACCGAGAGTCAGCAGCGCTCACTCACTTGTAGACACCGTAGATCCACTGCAGGGGGAAATCCACATTCTTGGTGCAGACAGCAATGAGCACAAAGGCCACGGCGACGGGGCGGATCTGGATGCCCAGATACATCAGCGCCAGGCCCAGGAGCTGCAGGGCCCAGGACAGCAGGGTGATGCTGCGCTCGTTCTCCAGCGGGCCGTACCTGTAGCACACTCCGAAGCTCACGAAGCCCATGAGCAGCAGGTAGCCTGCAGGAGAGCAGAGGAGTCAGGCGCAGGGGCTCCCTTGGCGCTGCCTCAACCTGGAGACGCTGAGCAGCAACTGCCGGGGCTGCAGCCAAACCCGGTGCTGCAGTTTGCTCCTCTCGGCAGCTCAGAAACAGCGTCGGCTGCAAGGAGGCCACAGGAGGCACCAACATTTCCCACCAGCGTGCTGAAGCTCCAGAAAGAGCCGCGTGGTGTGGTGAGCTGGCGGGTCTGAGAGCCCACACCTACCCAGCAGGTACTGCCAGTAGGACCTGCATATCTCCCGCAGGTTCTTGAAGACCAGCTGAAGCAGGTACAGGGAAAAGGACCAGCCTCCGAGCAGCAGGAAGTAAACAGGACTTTTCTAGGAGAGGAAACGCGAGAATCAAGAGAGGCCGTTGGCAGAAGAAACTGACGGCTGCATCCCTTCAACTGCCGCATCCTGCTCTGCGCGAGACCAGATCCACGACGAAACAGAACAAGGCCACAAAAGCACACAGTTTGCTCACCCTGGGCATGGCCTTGGACATCACGTAGATGAGGATGAGCAGCGAGGCCAGCAAGCCAATGCTTATCCCAGCTGAGTAGAAGAAGAGCTGGCTCCTGCAGAGATCACACACGCACACAAAGTGTTTCACAGCTTGTGAGATGATGTCTGCGTACAAACATTTCTGCTGGCAGTAAACCCTGCGAGCATGCAGGCTGAGCACCCCAGCACCCAGTGCCAACAGAAAGGCACCTTACATTCCCAAAATTTCACAGGGAAATTGCACAGAGGCCCATAGAGCTCATGGAGCAAGGCCTGGCAAGCCCTGCAGGCTCAGAGAAGCAGAAAGAAATACTCTGCCTTCCCGCAGCACGCACACAAAGGAGCCACTCTGCAAATCCAGCTCACGGGGGACAGGAGGCAACTCACCTGCTCAGCATGTCCCCACAGAAAAACAACAACAGGCCCAGGAAGAAAACCAGGAACAGTTTAGGGTCAAACCCTGGAAGAAGAACAAGCCCGGCTTAGGAGAAATCCCAGCAGGGTGCGCTGAGTGCAAGCTCCACTCTGACGCACTGACAGCAAGCAAGGAGAGGCAGCGCCTGAGGCAAAGCTCTGACAAGTGCCCTGTGTCCCTCCCATTCTGTATCCAAGTATTCCTCCTCTGCAAGCCCATTTTCCTTTACTGTATGCAGCAGCACAAGCTTGCAGCCCCTTATGGGAGGACCCACTGCCCACAGACCAGACGTACAGCGGGACAGCACGATGCAGTATTTGGTGTCAGCCTCCAGCAGCTCAACCTTCAGGCAGGTTTTGTTGCTGTAGAGATCCACATCGATGTTGGTGCTGTTCAGCTTCTCCTTCAGCAAGGAGGAGAGAAAATTCCACACCTTGGACTCCTCCAACTCCCTCAGCTCCTCCTCGCTGCCCACCTGGGTGACACGGATCACGTGGTTGCTGTTCACCCGGATCTGCGTAGGAGGAGAAAGCAGACATGGGCATCCTCAAGGTGGGCTCAGCCCTGTGGCCGGGGGGGTTGAGAGAGAGAGGATCCCACCCCCTCTCACCTGCATCCTGGTCCAGATGTCCCGCCAGCAGGGGCTGCGCACATTGGTGTAGCAGAAGTGGTGCGAGGTGGTGCAGCAACGCTCAGAGCTCTCCTGCAGCGCCAACACCTTCTCCCCAACGCCTTCACAGTGTGGAGCTGAGGAGGAAAACTCAGAAACGCAACGCGAGATTCCACTGCCACCCGCTCTGCTGTGCGGTGCCCCTCCTCCAGAGGGACCCCACCGTGCGCACGCGGTGGAACAGAACGAGTCCTCAGCCAGGACGCGCTAGGTCACCCCACGACCGCTCCCGCCCCTCCCGGAGCCCCCCCAGCCCAACGTGGGCCCCCCCAGCCCCACTCGAGGCCCCTCAGGCCCGGAGCGCTGCGCGTGGCCGGACCTACGAAGCCATCCAGCGCCCCGCGGCGACGTTGCTCCCCGCCCGTGAAAGCCCCGTATAAAATCACATCACACACCCGCACCGCGTAACGGAGGCAGCAGAAGGAGCAGCAGCAGCACGCCCAGGATCCCCTGCCGCCCCGGGACCGCTTTCATCCCTCCCGCCATGGCGTCCCCGCCAACTTCCGCTTCCGCCGCCCCGCCCACACCCGCGACTGCGACGGAGTACAAGGCAGCATCCAATGAGAGCGCGAAGCCCGTCTGACGTCATCAATCGGTGACGGCTAAAGGGACCAATAGGAAGGCGGCTTCGCGAGGTCCTCGGCGCCTGCAGTGTTGACTGACAGAGCATTCAGCCTGTCAGCATAGCCTAGACAGGACCAGGATTTGGTCCCGCCCTCAGTTACCAAGGTGACCGCCACGAGGTCCGCTCAATCTCGAAGCCGGCCCACACCGTAGCAACCGCGAGCCCCACCTTAGCAACAAGTTTGACGGGCATCCACCTCAACCAATCAGCGATCAGCCTCGACTCTCCCGCCCCTCTCCTCCAAGCCGGCTTGATTGACAAGGGCTCCACCTATCAGGAGGCGGCACCTCGTTGTTTGCGTGGGGGGGGTCTCTGCGGGGCACAGACCAGCGGTCCCCGCACCGGGTTCCTCTCGGCTGCGTGATGCCCACCCGGGATCCCCAACGTGGGGAGGGGACGGCTCAAGAGGGGCGGGGGGTAGCACCGGCCGTGCTCCGCAGCCTCCCCCTTCCCTCCGGCGCTCGGCTCCGTGGGCGGATCGGGCTCGGGGGGCCCCCCCCCGAGTCGTGGGCGGCGGAGCCGGGAAGCGGCGGGGCCGTGGGTGGAGGATGTGCGTCAG